CCTGAGCTTGGAGTCTGCGTAAGATTCTCTCTCTCTCCCTCTCGTGTTAATTAATTAACGAATCAATTGATTTTAAATGTCTAAAAAAATGGATGTTGTTTATCAGTTCACAATGAATGCAAGCGTTGAATCATTATGTTGTGCCCATGAAACTAGTATAATATAACATGTCAATTACACTTCCAAGAAATAAAAATATTATATCCATTTCAATATATTATATGATTCCACTTATATGAGATACCTAGATTAGGCATTAGATTCAGAGATAGAAGGGTGGTTGCCAGGGGCTGGGAGGAAGCGTGGAGTGGGGGTTATTGTTTAATGGGTACAGGGTTTCCGTTTGAAATGATGACAGGTTCTGGGAATGGATATAGTGACGGTTGTCCAACAATATGAATGTCGTTAATGCCACTGAACTATACACTTCCAAATGGTTGCAACAGTAAATCGTGTATGATACATGCTTTACCACACACGCACCAAAGAGGGGGTAGAAACTATAATCCTTCACAGGGATTTCTGGGCAAAAGGAACAGTGTAACCAAAGGCTCCAGGGGCAGAAAATATTGGGGGGGATATTTTTTTGGCAGAAACCGTCAAACCTCAGAAAGACTCCCAGGTGCCTTATGGGAAATTTGGGCAACACGAACGGACGGAGTGTTGGAGCAGGTATGGAAGCGAGGGCGCGAGGCAGTAGCGTCTGGGGTCAGTGTGAGCGGTGAGGGAGGTCAAGTCATGCTATCTCCGGGACCCGGGGGCCTTAGGTGGGTCGGGCGATTCAAGGAGGTCCGATTCAGTGTGCTGGCAAACTTAGTCGGGAGTCCAAGGCAGAAGTCAAGAGGGCTGGGCAGGATCCAACTTAAATCTGGCCCAAGTTGTGCAGAGCAGGAGGTCATCATGACTGGGGGAGAAATATGCAGAACGGAGGGAGACAAAGAGCAGAGCAAGCCCACACACGGGACTCAGAGCTAACCTGGGAGAGTTGGCACAGCTGAGGCTCACTCCGGGCTCCCTGGCTCCCAACACTGCGGAAGGCTGAGGGATGTGCCAGGACAGCGCTCGGGAGCGGGGGAAATCTGACCAGAGCGGCGGACACTGGCCACCAGGAAGCAGGAGCTAATTCCAAACCAGCCCAGAAGCTGGGCTCCGGCTGCTGATGCCCTTCGGTCAGGGTTCCCGTGGGAGCTGGGGAGGGCTACAGAAGAACGAGGCAGAGGGAGTGATGTGGGGCTGATTGGCTCACAGGAAACATACAAGGAAAACAAGGAAGAAAAGACTGCAGAGAAGGTTAGGGCCAGAAGGCGGACAAATTTCATGTCGGACTAGATAGTTTGAATTAAATTCTATGAGTAACAGGAAGACAGAAAACTCCTGAATAGGGAAGTCGTATAAAGAAACCTTGGTCTTAAGAAGGTTAATCTGGCACGTCCCATGGTTTTACATATAAGAGTCACTGTATCAGTGGGAGACCACAGCCAGAACAGGAGTGCGGGATGGAATGGAAGATACAGGTGTCTCAGAAATGCACAAGCGACTTTGTTGTTGTTGGGGGAGGGACGTATGTTGCGACTGGATTTTCCATGTTTCAATGTGTTGCAGTGAAATGAATTTTAAAATTCATTTATGTTTTTAAAATTTTTCTAATGTGTATTTACTTAGAGAGAGCGTGCATGTGCATGTATGCAAGTGGGGGAGGGGCAGAGAGAGAGGAAGAGAGAGAGTCCCAAGCAGGCTCTGAAAAGTCAGCACAGAGCCCTACGAGGGGATCAATCCCACACACTGTGAGATCATGATCTGAGCTGAAATCAAAAGTCGGACACTTAACCTCCTGAGCCACCCAGGCACGCTGAATTTTAGCTCATTTAAAAATGAAATGTAAGGTCGCCTGGGTGGCTCAGGAGGTTAAGCGTCCAACTTCAGCTCAGGTCATGATCTCAGGGTTTGTGAGTTCGAGCCCCACATCGGGCTCTTTGCTGTCACCACAGAGCCTGCTTTGTGCCCCTCCGCAACTCATGTTTTATCTCTCTCTCTCCAAAAATAAATAAACATTGAAAACAATGAAATGTAAAATGTATTATGCATTAACAACATATTGCATTTGTAATATGTTTCCGTTGTAAACATTATACTCATAATAGGAAATTTGGAAAATCAGAAAAGTGGAAGGTAGAAAGTAAAGTTGCTCTCATTCCAGCCTGCACCCAGGATTGTATTTCCTTCTAGTCTTTTTTCTACACCTAGTTGTTTAGATCGTTGGTTTGCTTGTTTGCTTCCCACAGCTGTGATCCCATTACGTTTTTTTTTTTATCCATTTTTCATTTGTCGTGTGGTGGGAAGCGGCAGAGTAGAGTGGTGAGGAGTACAGACTCTAGAACTGGCCGCCTGGCTTCAAGTCTCAGCATCTGCCACTTGCTGACTGTGTGACATTAGCCTCTCTGTGCCTCAGTTTCCATAGCTATAAAATGGTAGCGATCATAGTAACAATTTCATAGCACTGTTATGAGGATTAAGTGAATTAACAGGTGGAAAGCCCTCAGCATTGCCACGTAGTAATTCTTGCATGTGTTAGGTACTTTACTCCGTTGTTATAAATACGTGTGAAATATCTGAGGCTTTCAAGATGGAAAGTAGGGAAATTCACAAAGAACAGTGATGTCATTAACAGGTATAGGAAGCCAGGAAGAGTGGTTTGGAAGATGGCAAGGAATATATGTGGCTTTAATTGTATGGGGCTGGAGTTACAGGCAAAAAGAAGGGTGGAAATATGTAGGAGAGCTTGGAGATGCAATACAGAAGCCCCAAAGAGAAGTTATGACCAGATGTTATGGATTTGGAAGACATCTTCCTTTGGTGACTTCATAGTATAGGAAAAAATCAGATCACTAAAGGAAAGAAAACATGGTGAGGACAAAACTTTGGAGAGTGGGCATATTTATTTATTTATTTATGTATGTATGTATGTATTTATTTATTTATTTATTTTTAGAGACCGAGAGAGAGAGTGCACTTTCGAGCGGGAGAGAAGTCAGGGAGAGGGAGAGAGAGAAAATCGTAAGCAGGCTCCATACTGTCAGTGCAGAGCCCAACGTGGGGCTTTGATCCCACAACCCTGGGATCATGACCTGAGCTGAAATCAGGAGTCAGACGTCCAACCGACGGAGCCGCTCAGGTGCCACAGAGAATGTGCACACGTAAAGAATGAAAGAAGGGAGAACCAGGAAAAGTCAAAGAACACGTACAGAATTAGAGGGGAAAACCAGAAAGATGGGAGAAGGGAGGTTGTGTCAAATGTGTTTTTCATGGAAGCCAAATTTTCCTTGATGTGCCTGAGATGCGTCTTGGGGCAGCATAACAGAGAGATGGCTTTCCAGAGTCCTAGGTGGGCAGTTGGTGGTGCTGGGGGTGGGGGGCATTCCTCCAAGACCCTTGCCTTCTTACGGGATGGAGCCCAGAAAGGGAGCCATGAGGACACAGGTCTGCCCAGCTCTCTTTCTTCCCGCCTGCCTCTCCTTGATGACCCCTAAGTCCTACTCTCTCCTCTGTGACTCCGCTTCCCTGGAAGCTGTGAAACCTGATGTTGACGAGGGCTTTCCCCGCACAATAGAATTCGAAGAATTGACCTCTGAGCCTGCTTGATTAAAGAAATGTAATCAGTTGAGGTGGGGAGGAATAAAGGCTATCTTCTTGTTGCATGATTGTGTTTTGCATGTCAGAAGATGATTATGCCTCTCCTTTAGGAATTGCTACATTTCTGTGCTAACGATCCTAATTTCCTCCCAAATTTACAGACACCTCAGGACAAGAACAGCAAAGGTCTGTGTACTGAGCGGAGCAAAAAGAAAGCAGAGGTGCCTTGGTTGCTCAGTCGGTTGAACGCCTGACTTTGGCTCAGGTCACGCTCTTAGGGTTCGTGAGCTCGAGCCCCACATTGGGTTCACTGATGTCAGTTCAGAGCCTGCTTCGGCTCCTCTGTCCACCTCTCTCTCTCTGCCGCCTCCCCCCCACCCCCGCACCTCAAAATAAATAAGACATTAAAAAAGAAAAGAAAGCATGTGAATTTCACAACAGAGCCCTGTTCCTTATTTTAAAAAGGTACAAGAAGGGTGTACAAAGAGGCATGAAACGGTCTCAGGAGGTGCGGGAGAAAGGGACAGGTGCAGGGGCAAGGCTTGAAAAGAGTGACAGTTTTTGAGCAAATGTAGAGAAGACTGAATATACATCACACAGAAATTTTGATGTGGAAAGGAGGATGATGGAAGGAGTTCATGTAAGATGACTTCAGTCAAGGGCACAGGCAGACATACTGGCAAAGTGCATGAACTCTGGGGACAGACAGTCTGGTTCAAATGCCAGTTCAGCCACGGTGTAGCTGTGAGACCTCGAGAAAGTTCCTTCGTCTCTCTGCTCCGTGAAAAAAACGTAACGATGGCGTTATGATATCTGCCTGACAGGCTTATTACAAGCGTAACTGCATTACTATGCCTATGTGTTAACTCTTTTCAGTCTAGATAATCAGACTAAAGTGTGCCCAAGAATGTTTAAAAATCCGATGACCGAGGCAGAAGAAAATCCATTTTGTAACTGTTGACAGCGATTTGGGCAGCCAGACATGCAGCACCGGGAGCGCCTGCTTTATTTTTCTTCCTTGTCCTTGTGCCTCTAGAGCACATATAATAATATGTGCTCTAATAACATCACTATAATAATAGTGATCAGCCTTCCACCCACTAAAACTGTAAGTCATCAGAGAACAGGGACTTTGGCTGGTTTTGCTCACGATTAACACAGTAAGTTTACAAGTAAATAACTGATTAAAAATACATTAACTTATAGGGAAGCTTGTTCAAAATGGAACCCGAGTTTCACAAGTCATGGTGTGGCTTGGGAAAGGAGGGTTGTGGAGGGAAACGGAAGTGGAGACACAGGAAGGGCTGAAGCGGGAGGGGTCTGAGTGGGGGCAACAGGGTGGTTGAAAGAAAGGAGGAAGGGAAGGGTAGGAGTTCAGCCTGCAGAGATGGGAGCAGCGTTCTCGAATGCTCATGGGAAGATTAAATGGGACCCCGGCCAGGGAAATACATTCCTACTCAGTCTATTCCTGTTTTGCATCTCTTCTGGTATCAATTTTTTTGAATTTACCTTTGTTTAGATTAAGATATTTATGAAATTGTTTATAATGGTCTCATTTAATCTGTTCATAGTTTTTCTTATTTTTTTTCTTCTTATTATTTTTCTTTCATTGTGTTTTTCTTTTTCTTAAAGTGGGCTTCATGCCCAATGTGGGGCTTGAACTCACAACCCTGGGATCAAGTATCAGATGCTCTACCGACTGAGCCAGCCGGGCGCCCCCTCATTTGTATTGTTCTTGATGAAAATGTCAGGATTCATCTATTTTGATGAGGAGTGTTCTTATTAAAGGAGCCCCATTGGAATGTATTTGTTAATGTAAGTTATGTCCGGGTTTCTAATTTGTTCATTCAGAAATCATATTACTTTCTTCCTTCTGATATCTTCAGGATTTGATTCTTCTTTTCTAACATTTTGAGTGTTTAATAATTTGAAAACAAAAGAATGTGTGGTTCCTGAAAGTAGCCGTGGCTGTGGTCTCCCCAGAGTGTGGAGGTTGGGCAGGGAGCTGTGGAGGGTTAGAGGCAGGCCTCGGCCGATTTGCGTCCCAGATGCCCGAATGTTAAAATGGCACATGACCCCCGAACTACAAATTATTCCCTTTGCAAAGCTCACTTGCCTTGAAATGACTGCTTCTTGTAATTTTTAGAAAGCTTTTTTTCATGTTTATTTATTTTTGAGAGAGAGAGACAGAGTGTGAGCGGGGGAGGAGCAGAGAGAAAGAGAGGGAGACACAGAATCCGAGGCAGGCTCCAGGCTCTGAGCTGTCAGCACAGGGCCTGACGCGGGGCTCGAACCCATGAACCTTGAGATCATGACCCAGGCGAAGTCTGATGCTTAACCGACTGAGCCGCCCAGGCGCCCCACTCCTTGTAATTTTAAAGACAGTTTGGCTCTATCTTTTCTGCCTCCTTTCTATGATCTCGCCCAAATGCCATGCCCGACGCTGTATGCTGGGCTGGGTCGCAGTTTTCCCACAGGTGTTTTACAGGCAGAATGATCTATCGTGATAAAAGGCCGAGAGCCTAGAATTAAGTTCACGTCACAGCTCTGCCGCTTCCTCACTGTGTGAGCTTTGTCGGGTTATTTGACCCAAGCCTCAGTCTCCTCACCTGTTAAATGGGGGTAATGATGGCACCTGCCTCAAAGAGCAGTTGGGAGCCCTCGGGGAGAGTGTCCGTCAAAGCTTTTATCACGAAAGGAATGTTCGCTCACCCCATCTGTTACCTGTGTCCACGGACTTCCACGTGCAGGTGTTCAAATGTCTTCCACAAACTATGTTTGGGTAGGACACTCTTATTTGTCGTTCACAATGAGGAAAATGAGACACAGACACCTCAAGGACAAGTTGTGGTTAACAACGGAAGGCTAGACTTTGAGATTCCTAACCGCGCGCTCTTTTTAAGAGGGTAAGTTAGCTTTTGGCAACAACTGGGAAATAATGGTCTTGTGCTCACGGTTCACAAGCACCCCTCCTCATGTTGTTAAATTCTTTCCCGGGGTCTTCATCCTCCTGGTGAAATCTCTACAGATAAGGCTCAGCGTGTATTATCTCCCAGGGAGTGTTTATATTTTACCGCGAAGACTTACAAGCTCAGAAAGCGTTCAAGGGGTGAAGAATGAGCCTCTAAAAGAAAATTTAAGGGCGCCCAGGTGGCTCAGTTGGCTGGGCGTCCGACTTCGGCTCAGATCACGATCTCACAGTTTGCGAGTTCGAGCCCCGCGTCGGGCTCTGTGCTGACAGCTCAGAGCCTGGAGCCTGCTTTGGATTCTGTGTCTCCCTCGCTCTCTGCCCCACCCCTGCTCATGCTCTGTCTGTCTGTCTTGCTCAGAAACAAATAAAGACTAAAAAAATTTAAAAGAAAGAAATTTTAAGTCTAGGAACAGTGTGGGGCAAGGGACCTTTCAGTGAGTGAATTTTCTTATTGTATCTCATAGTAGATGGAATTAGGCCCCACAAACACGTCCGTATCCTAATCCCTGGAAGCCACCATGGCACTTAACATGACAAAGGAATTTTGCAGAAGTGGTTAAATTTAGCGTCTTGAGGTGGGGAGATTATCCTGGATTATCCAGGCAGTCCCAGTATATTCACAAGTGTCCTAAGAGGGAGACAGGAGGGTCAGAGTCAGAAGGGGAGAGGTGACAATGGATGCCGAGGTGAGGGGTGGGGAGGAGAGAGAGAGAGAGAGAGAGAGAGGAATTTGAAGATGCTATGCTACTGCCTTTGAAGACGGGGGCGAGGGGGTGAGGGGTGAGGGGGTGAGGGGGTGGGGGCCGGGGAGGGGGGTAGAGCTATATACCAAGGAATGCAGATGGCCGCTATAGGCTGGAAAAGGCAAGGAAATGGATTAGCCACCGCAGCCTCCAGAGGAAATGTAACCCTGCCGACACCTTGAGTTGAGGACTTCTGACCTCCAGAAATGGGAGATAGTAAATTTACGCTGTTTCCAGCCACTGCGTTTGTGTTAGTTTGTTATAGCAGCCACAGGAAACTGATACACATCTCATTCTCCCTCTGTGGTCAAGCAGACTCATCTTTTCCATTAGTCAACCATTTCCAACATAGACCAAGGGATTCAAAGGAACGCGGCTGCACAACTATTGCAAAATGAGCTGTATGATCAGAATTAACTAAGATTTCAAACACAAAACCAACGTCTTGGGAATTATCTGACCGTTTGTTGGGGAGGCATCACGGTACAGGGAGGAAGCTGTTGATTCTGAGCCACTGCGTATTGCTCTGAGGGTTGGGCCCAGCCCAGGGGGTGCCTGACTGAGGAGGTAAGTGAGAGTGGAGCTCCAGGCCAGGCCCCGACTGCCGAGAAGTGCACACAGGCGTGAAGTGGCATTTTCTGAGAGGAAGAGACACCCCTTTTGATTTGCTCAAAGGTACTGGATAGACTAGCAGCAGACCTAGAAGACTTACCCCGATTCTGTCAAGGATCAATGAGGTGAACTCACATGAGTCACTTGAGCTCTCTAGGTTTGTTACCAGTAATCCTTTTGGACAGAAGCTACAATTAATTGGGTAATTAGCCTTTTTGCCATTCAATTGCCTCACTCTAAAAGAAGGATTTCAGACGAGGGAAACTCACCCTCACTGACTCCACTCCAGCACTTGCCTTCTTGCCTGTAGCACACATGGCATATTGCATATTGCATATTGCTCCTTGCCTCAAGCATACATACCTAATGCCTCAGGTCCTTTGCACGCACTGTTTCCTTTACCCAGCACATGTCTCCCTTCCTGATTTCATTTAGGTCTCTCCTGGAAAGGCATTTATTCAGAGAGTCCTTCCTTCACTGACCATTCTATTTAATAGCATCACCCTTATACTTAATTCCCTTATTCTGCTTGATTTCATGTATATGATTTCCCCCCATCGAACACTGTCTTGTTTATTATTGGTTTACTGTTTGTCTCCTCCACTAGAACGAAGGTCCATAAACACAAGAACATTGTTTTGTTTGCTGTTGCACCCTCAGCGGGTGCACACAGTAAGTGTTCAATAAATATTTGCTGAATGAATGAAATTTTTCCTCGTGTAACCTTGCCTTCTGCAATAGGACGTGTGGGTGTTTCATAGTGGTTTTTTCACGTGTGACTGTGCTCTGCGGCCCTGCATGGAGGTGAAGGTGAGGGTGACCAGTGCATTGCCTCAGGATTTGTTCTGGGCCCCTTATTAGTGGAGACATCATCTTCTAGGAAATAAAGAGACACACAACAAAATGAAAATTGCTTAAACTTGATCCCTGTGCCGTGTCTACTTCCTGCCCCGTTTATCTTCACCTACAAATGACAAATTCTTCAGATTGTGGACCCATGCTTCCCCGTGAAAAATGCTTATGCTGTACAGTAATCATTTGAAGAGTCATCTCGAAATTTTTATTGCAAGACCCCAAGTTCGTTTTGGGGAAAGAGCCGCCCTGTTCTCGACCCTGCCGTGGGTTTTCCTTTGCAGGCACGCTTCCTGTCTCCGAACCCTCTGTTACCATCTTCCTATCCTTTGGCACGGGTCTGGGGATCTCTTCGGGTGGGCAGAGTGCGTAAGCTCACCATCTCCCTTCTTTTCCAAAGAAGCTAAAATCATTGTAGTTCCTACGGTTGGGGTACTCTCATTAAATATGCGCCTGAGGAGACAGATCATTTTCTGATTAGACCATTTTCTGATTCTCCTAACTGGGCATAGTTTCTCTTTGTGCCTAGGAATAACTTCTATGTCCGCTTTTTCACCCTTGTGACTTTCAGGACTCCCAGACGGCGGGAGCTCTAGAGAGAAACTTTACACCCCTCAGTCTCTCTCTTTCTCTATTTTGTGTGTCAGTTATTCCTTGGAAGGTGGGAGTCTTCAGTGGTGACCCGGTGCACAGGCCCACACGTCCCCACTCAGTGGGGTCCCCTTGTTGCCATATCCCAGGGAGGCGTGGCTTTGTCTGGCAAGTTCGAATTGTGTGTAGTATGGGATGGGGATGGGTACCTGGTGCAGAATCACTGCTCTTTTCTCTAATGTTTTTCAGTGGATATTCTTTTTTTTAAATTGGTTTTTTTTTTTTTTACATTTATTTATTTTTGATAGACAGAGAGAGACAGAGCCCAAGTGGGGGAGGGACAGAAAGAGAAGGAGACACAGAATCCGAAGCAGGCTCCAGACTCTGAGCTGTCAGCACAGAGCCCGACGCGGGGCTCGAACTCACAAACCGTGAGATCATGAGCCGAAGTCAGACGCTTAAGTGACTGAGCCACCCAGGGGCCCCCAGTGCATATTCTGAAACGCTGGCCCGCCACAGGAAGATGTTGAAAATGTAGATTTGTATTTTAAATACTCTGCGAATATGAAACTTTTCATTGTGAATTCCTCTGTCAGTGGGAGGCAGATAAATTTGGAGAGAACACTGAATCTAACTTTTATCTCATCAAAACAGTAGCATTCTTCTTTTTGGCCACTCAAAGGACTTTGCCCCTAACGGGCTGAGATCCCCATCAGTTTGAATTGTCTCGTGTGAAGCAAAAGTACGGATTTCGTGATCTGAACAAAGCAACTTGACCTCGCTGTGGAAAGCTCATTAATTCCAAATGGAAAATAATCAGCTCAGAAAAGGATGGGTGGGATTCTGTCTTCCTCTTTTTCCTGTAAACTAGAGGAAAATGATTTTTGGCTGAAAGATGGCTTTGGCAAGAAGTCGGACTCTCCAAAGGAAAACCCCTGTTGAGAGCAGATAGGTTTCGGCCGCCCAGAAAGCCAGGAGGCCACCGGTCTGCGTCCATTTGTCTGTTACTTGAAATTGGCAGTTGTCTCAGCTGCTTACCTCACAAG